GTTAAAATAACTCTTGGAGGTAGATATTATTATTAGTTACTTCCAGATGAGGAAACAACTCTTAGTTAGAGGTTCGCTGATATGCCCACAATCACACAGGAGATCTGAAGCCTAGCATACCTGACTATAAGCTTGAATACTCCCTCCTCGGTACTACTAAACCACCAGGCTGGGATAAAATAAGAAAAAGAAGGTGGGAAAGTGAGGAAAACAGACTAATGGAGAGAAGGGGACCAACACGTCATCTACCTTTTCACCCAGAAACTAAAACTTCTGTCCACAGGTATAACATAAACATTTCATGTCAAGACTCTGATGATAAAATGTGATGTTGTTCTTGCTGGGGCTGAAAAACCATCATTAATAGTAGTCTGGGGGGTGCCTGGGTGACTCAGTAGTTTGAGCGTCCGACTTCGGCTCAGGTCATGATCTCACAGCTCGTGAGTTCGAGCCCCGCGTCGGGCTCCGTGCTGACAGCTCAGAGCCCGGAGCCTGCTTCGGATTCTGTGTCTCCCTCTCTCTCTGCCCCTCCTGTGCTCACGCTCTGTCTCTGTCTGTCTCTCAAAAATAAATAAACATTAAAAAATTTTTACAAAACTAGTAGTTTGGAACATTTTATAAATACATGTATATTAGTGTGTCTAGTTAAACGTTCTCCAAAATGCTACTGGTTGAGCATCAAGGAGTAGAGAATAATACAAGGTAGTCTCCCAAATACTGCACCAATAAAGTAGTGTGCAAAATGTCGGGATCAGCACCCCAGAACAAGCTGACGCTCATCAACGTTTTTGTTGATGTCAACAGAAACCCATCTCTTTATTTAGAAAGCCATGCATCGGTTCCTAACGTAGTATACTACTGTTCAAAACTTTACCAAATGAAATGCCCAAATTGTTCTGTAATTACATGGCAGTTACTGTCTTATGATTGCACAGACTGAATCCCTGCTGGTTTTCCACAGGCAACAGTCAGCTCTCCAAAAAACAAACTTAATGTATCTTTTGGGCCAAATGTTTTTCCTTATGCCCTGCTCCATTTTTCATTATCATGGTACTTGGCACTCTCCCCTTAATCATAGGTTTGAGAAGAGGGATGAAGTCAGCCTTCCCTCTGTTGCTAAGGACACTGTCCATGGCTCCACTGAAGAGCGCCCCCATCAGTGCACACAGTTCCACACGGTTCCCGGCATCTCAGCACAGCAGGGATTCCCATGAACTCAGTGCAGGTTTTAATTAGAACACAAGGAACTTCTTGGGCACAGTTCCTTAGTTACGACAGTTGAAGGAAAACAATTCGCTTGGTGGGGTTCTTGAGATCAGACAGGTAAATGTGACAGGTTTTCCTTTTGCCTGGTACAAAGGATCTCTAAAACATAAACTTTTCTTAATTCAGTCTCATCCGGATAAACTTAATGCTAACTGAGATAACGGCCCTCACTGTCCAACAGCAAAAGTTTTCAGGGCAGTTTACTGGTACCGACCGTGAATATGGTCCAGAACTTCTGGTGAGAAAAAAATTACAGCATCGGGAAGCTTGCATGTGCTCACGTGAATCACACCTGCCACGCATACAGGAAAGAAGTCTTATCAGATGCTCCTCTGATGTTAGAGATAAGCAGATGAATGAGAAGGGTGAGTGTGCACAGAGCTCCTGATCTAACATTAAATGGAAGTTGGCAGCCTGACTCTGTGTCCCACCTGGTTCTGTTGTGTAAAGTTCAGGGTAGCTGACGTCATTTTTGGCACTGGCCATTTCTGACATCAGGGTATGCTGGCTTTGCGGAGTGGATGTTAGCTAGCCCCTTGGGCATCTCAGAGTGTTGAGTAGAGCCTGAAACTGAGAGTCTAGAAGTAAGCAATTGGCAGAAGGTCCTCGACGCTGTAGCATCCTAACCTGAGTTACTGTTTCCTCCTGGAGGGTAATGTCCCATAACCTTCACAGCCAAATACTCCGCTAGTGCCAGTCTCAAAGTTAGCAGCTCCAGTGGTACAATACAATGAGTTTGGAGATTTGCAATCAGTAAGCCTGCCACCTGCTTTATCGCCCCTGGCAAGAAATTCTGGTTAATGTTCCAGTGTCTTTTTTCCCCCATGCGGTTCCCTCTTTCTGGAACCCTCCCTACCTCCCAGGTTTTAGTGGATTCTTATTTGTCTTTCAAAACTGGGTTCCAACTAAGTGTCAATTCTCCTCAAGAAGGTTTCCATGACCACACAACTGCCCCAATCTGACTTAGAAGTCCTTTGTCACTCCCCTAAACCCTATAAATGTCATTTAGATCATCTTATGCTGCCCAGTAAAAAGAGCCATATTTGTCTGTGAGAAGCCACATTACTCAACTATTTTCAGCTGGAGCCTGGCAGAGTGCCTTGATCTCACAAAAGATGGTCATTTTGAGTGTGTGTTTGTACAACCTCTCTGTGCCTCAGTTTTCTCATCCATAAAAGGGTATAATCATAGTGCATGCCTGGTAGTGAATGTAAAGTGTTTAGAATCATTGTGAGCTCTCGTTAAGCATTTGTGAAATTAATAAATAAATGTAATCTTAAGTCAGTTACTTTAGATATACTGTCTTCTTTTATGAAATGGAGATACTTGTATTTCTTTACAGAACGGCAGCAAGGATCAAATAAGATGACATAGTTAATGAAAGTATTTTGAGAGCTGTAAGCGCTTGAGTGGCTCAGTCAGGCCAGCATCTGACTTCAGCTCAGGTCATGATCTCTCAGTCAGTGAGTTCGAGCCCTGTGTTGGACTCTGTGTTGAGAGATCGGAGCCTGTAGCACGCTTCAGATTCTCTGTCTCCCTCTCTCTCTGCCCGCCCACTCACACTCTGTCTCTCAAAAATGAATAAATGTTAAAAAGGAAAAAAAAAAAGAAGAGTCTTTAGTGGTTAATGCAGTGGTTGCCCAAAACCTATTCAAGCCTTGGATTTTTTCCCCTAACTTTCCAACACTGGCCATAAGGGACAAGGTACAGTTACATGGACTATTAACAAGGGTAAGGGAAAAATAGGTCCCAGAAGCCAGTGCAGAAATGGAATACTAGCCATCTGAAAAGAACATCAACGTCCGCAGAATGTGGAACATCCAGAGGACTTCGGAGGCACAATCATTGCTGCTTGATTCTGATCATATCAAAAATCCATGGAATTCAAGAGCCGGAACGAACTTTTGAAATCATTCATTCTAAATTCCTTCATTCTACTGATGAGGAAATGGATGTCTATGGATCCTCGGCCACTGGCCCAAAGCCACAAAACAAGTTAGTGACAAACAACTTGCCTCCTCATTCATAGCCTATAGGTGCATATAGATTTAGTTTGTCCCAAGTTCCCACCACTATCTTTTTAGGGTGGACTTCAGGGACAATCCTGGGTTCCAATTCCAGTTTTACCATATATTACTTCGGTGACTCTGAGTTATTGAACGGGTCGTAGTCACAGCTGCTCTGTTTGTAAAACAGGGATCCTAGGGTCTCTTTCAGAAGTTCACCCTATGATAGAAGAGGTAATGTCTGTACATCAAGCAAAGCCTGTGCCTAGTACCTGCTTCATCCTTCACTAACTTCCTATACTAACTATTGTAATGTTCTTTAAACCAAACAAATGCATAAAGACCAAGACTATCTTATAAAACATCTTCTTTGAAGAAAGCATCTAAGAACTGACAGCTGTGAAGTTTTCTTTGGTATTGAAGTGGTTAAAAAAAAAAAGACTTCTTTCTGGTTGAAAACCTGGCTGCCCCACCGTTTCCACATAACGTGCCCTTGTCCGTGGCCGCAGTCACGTATAACGGGGTATATAGTAAAGCAGTGTATAGGGCAGTGTTGCACTCTGTGACTTGTTTGCTTTCTCACCTCTGCACCTCTCCCACCAGGTACCGCTAGGCTGCCAATTCCAGCTCCTGCTTTATCCTTCCTCCTCTCTTTCTGCCCAACCACGGCTTCAACGATGAGTCCCGTCCGAGGACAGCTCCCTTCATCAACGCTGGAGAGAAACTGCTCGGGAGTGACCTGGGCTCTGTCTTCCTCAGAAGCCCCCTTGTCCACGTACCTGGCTGCCTATCTCTCCTGGCGGGTGTCCAGTTCCTCCTCCACAGGCCTTTCAGCGGCTCCCCTGACCACCAACTCCTCGCCCTCCGGTACCTGCGTTTCTAAAAGGTGCGGGACTAGACCGAGTTCTAAAAGTTGGTGCGCGCAGCCACCTGCACTGATGCCCTGGCCCTCCCCGCAACAAACACAGCACCAGGCGCGGGGCTCTATCCTGGGACAACAAAACTCGGCCGTCTGCTTTCTCCAAGGCAGCTCCGTCCCCAGGACACCGTACCCCAGGGTGTCCCGCGCGGTCTGCATCAACGGCGAGGAATGAGCCCCAGGAGGATGCACTGGCTCGGACAGCCGCGGTGGTGGCGCGGCTGGGAAGACACGGTGTGCCCCACCTAACCTCAAACTCTGAGTCCATATCCCTTCTCCCCCCACCGCTCACCCTGCCATCCCCTGGAGAACCAGGAGCCACTATTCTTGGCTCGGAGGCGGGGGCAGGAGCCGGGCACCGGGAAGCCAGGGCGGCGCACCGTTCGCCTCCCAGACATTCCGGAGCCCCCTTGCCGGCCACAGTTACGCTTCACGTCGCGTCTGGAGGACTAGGCGGCGACGAGCATCCCTATTCCCTCTCTCCAGGGCCAGAGGTATGAGGCAGGGAACGAGGCAACGTCGCGGGGTGGAAGGGGGCGCAGCCAACCCCCTTGCGGAGTTCCCCCAGGCCCCTGTCCGGGAAAGGGACGAGGCCACCGCGATCCACACCCCCGCGCACGCCCCGGAGCTCGGGGCCGGCTAGCGGTCGCCACCGACACCCCAGGCGCACACGGCCGCGTGCGTCCTTCCCCAAAGCGACTCCGGATCGGATCCCGCCGGGAGCCGCGCGGGCGGCGGGAGGTGTGCGCCCGGCGCGTCCCGCGTGCCCCACGGTCCCGGGCCCCGGCGGCCCGCGGTCGCACGCTCACCAGATGGCCATCCTGCTCTTGGGGTAGTCCAGCCGCTCCAGGCACAGATGGCAGCGCGTGAGCATGTTGCGGGCGAGGACGGCCACAAGTCACCCGTGGGTCTCTCGCACCGGCGACCTGGGAACACCTCCCTCCGCCTCTCTTCATCGTGCTCCGCGTCGGGCCTGGCGGCAAGGCGCGGCAGCCGCGGCGGAGCAGAGCGGCGGTGACAGGAGCAGCAGCGATATAATGAGGGTGGCGGCGCGGCGCGCGGGCTGTTCGGGGCCGCGGCGGGCGGCGGGAGGACTACAGGTCTGAGGAGGCTGCGGTCGGGCGGGGACGCGGCTGCCCTGCTGGCTGGCGCGGCATCTGGCAGCGGGGCCCTGGTAGCCCGGGAGCTCCTTCCCGCCGCCGCCGCCGCCCAGGCCCTGACGCGAGGGCGCACCGCGGATCCAGAAGGGTCAGTATTCTCCGGGGGCCCAGGCTCGCGGTGACAGCCGCGTGGGGGGCGAGGGGGCAAACCCAGCCTGAGGAGTTCTGTCCGACTCAGCTGTCCGGCTGAGGTCTGTGGCTCTCCCAGAGCTGTGAGGTGTGGCCGTCACTGCCAATGGGCGTGTGTGTGTGTGTGTGTGTGTGTGTACATAACGGTGAGACTCCGAGAAAATTTATTCTGCTTTTGCAAACCGCAGTCTAAAGTCCTTCACAGTGATGCAATGTATCCAGTTTTGCATAATGCACCTATTGACTAGACGGGTAGAGTTCTAAAATGGAAAGTCACCCAGCTATCCATTACTACGGTAAACAACTTTTTAACTTCCACCGAGGCAGAGTGTTTGCATTTCCCTATACAATCAATTTCTCTTGAAGTTCATCCTCGACTGAGTAGACCCTCGATTACACCAAATTTGAAGTCTTGGAGAAGTTTAGAGTCAGATTGAACCCTTGAGATTAAAGGGAATCAGTCCCCTGGTGGGCCACCGTTGTGAAGGCCCGTTCCTCTCTCTTTCCCTCCCAGGGTCCTGAGTTTTCAGACAGGATGGCGTAAAAGAAGTTTCACTTTAAATGGTTTTCTTTTTCCTTAATGACCCAAACGGACAAAGCGTAACAAAGACAAGGAAAATCCATCCATACGTGTTGGAGTAGAGGAGAGAGACAGAGACAGAGACAAAGAGAGAAGAAAAAGAAGAGGGCTGAAGGAAGAACACAATTAGTACATAAAATGAAATGGCTAGGATACACTGCCAAAGGATATTTACTCTTGAACATAACATAGGAAAGCTAGTAATGAAATCTGGAGTTCCTTCCTTGTGGGATTGTGGAGACTTTGCTCTATCCACATGTGGGATGGGTTGGTACCACTCGCTGCACATGCATGACCTCCAACTCCAGTTCACCCTCAGCCCTGCCCCCCCCCCAGATTTTTACTTGTGTCCCTTCTTCCCTGCAACTAGTAGAAGTTTTCATCACTCTCCTCCCACCCCCTCACCTCCTCAGAAAAATATCACTTCCTTTACAGAACTCCCTCGACAGCCCTGTCTCTAATATCCCTACCAGTACCCTGCCTACTTGAGGCGCCTGTTCCTGACAGAGCCTTTGACCGCACTCACTCCCTTCTCATCCATGACTTTGCTTTGTTCCATCATGTATATTCACTCTCTACCAAATCTTCAACTGGTCCTTCGTCATCAGCTCCTCCCCCTCAAGTAGAAACTTAGTCCTTTCCTCTCCTTGAAAAAAATTGTTTTTACTCCTGTGTCTCCTTCTTGCAATACCCCCTCTCTTGGTCAAGCTTCTTGCAACGGGGGTCTACACTTGCATTTCCACTTCTTCACCTCCACCTCTCCTACCCGAGTGCTGTGTGGTTTCCTGCTTCCTTACAGAGGCTGTTCTGGCAAAGCCACAGATGACCTCAGCGCTGGAAGATTCAGTGACCTCTTTACAGTTCTCACCTTCCTGGACCTCTTTGTACTTATGTTTGAGCCTGTTCACTGCATTCCCTTTCACAATGTGCTATGTCTCCTGCTCTAACCTCTTCTCTAATATTCGTACTTTTATATCTAGTGGCTTACGCACATTTCCTTCTCCTCCATTCTCCTTCAGAAACTGCCTTTGCGATTCTGTGTGTAGGCCACAGGGACCGTTAGACGTTGTCCTTTCCCTGGGGTGAGGGGGGATAGATGGGCAGTTGCTGGCATCCCTGGAGCCTAGAATTGCAGGGTGTATTTAGTTTTCTTAATGTTCTTGCTGATTACATAAAGAACGTGCTAATCAGTTATGGCCTGGCAAAGAAAATGGGATTTTCCCTGATCATGGCATATTCGTAAAATATACATTAACAGAATGTGTATTTTATTAATCATAACAACATATATAAAACATGAAAACAGTGGTTTATACATGTTAAATGTAGTGCAGATTTATTTGGTCTGCAGACAAAGCTTGGTGCAGAAGTAGATTTCAAAATAGATTACATAAACTTTGCAAACCCTATTACCCATTGGGGTAACCAATAAATGAATTCAGTAAAGTTACAACATACAAAATCAATATGCAAAAATAAGTTGCCTTTATATACAATAACAACAAATTACCTTAAAAAGAAATATGATAATCCAATTTACAGTGACATCAACAACAATCAAATATTTAGGAATAAATTTAACCAAAGAAGTGAAAGATCATTGATGAAAGAAATTGGAGATGACAAAAATAAGTGGAAATATATCCCATTTTCATGGATTGGAAGACTTTAATATTGTCAAAATATCCATACTACTCAAAGCCATCTGTAGATTCCATGCAATTCCTATCAAGCTTCCAGTGGCAACTTTAGAGAAATAGAAAAAAAAAAATCCTAAAATTCAAATGGAACAACAAAAGACCCTGAATAACCAAAGTAATCTTGAGAAAGAACAAAGCCAGAAACGTCACACTTCCTAATTTCAAACTATATTACAAAGCTATAATAGTGAAAACAGTAAGATACTGGCACAAAAACAAACACATAGACCAATAGGACAGAATTGAGAGGTCAGAAATAAATCCATGCATATATGCTCAGTGAATATTTAACAAGGGAACCATGAATGCTCAGTGGGGAAAAGATAGCCTCTTCAATAAATGGTATTGGGAAAAGTAGATATTTGCATACAAAAGAATGAAACTGGACCCTTACACCGCTTGAAAAATTAACTCGAAACAGGGTTAAAGACTTAAATGTAAGATCCCACACTGTAAAATTCCCACAAGAAAGCATAGGAAAAAGCTCCTTGACATTGGTCTTGGCAATGATTTTTTTCAATATGACACCAAAGCACAGGCAACAAAAGGAAAAATAAACAAGAGGGACCACAGCAAACTAAAATGCTTCTGTAGGTTTATGGAATGGAGGAAAATGTTTCCAAACCACATGTCTGATAAGGGGTTAATATACAAAATGTATAAGGAACTCATGCAACTCAATAGCACACAAATAATCCTATTTTTAAATGGACAAAAGGCCTGAATAGACATTTGTCCAAAAAAGATATAAAACTGGCCTGCAAGTACGTGAAAAGATGCTCAGCATCACTAATCATCAGGGAAATGCAAATCAAAATCATAATAACATATCACCTCACACCTGTTAGAAGGACTATTATTGAAAAGGCAATAGATAACGAATGCTGTCAAGGATGTGGAGAAAAGGGAACAATTAGTACACTGTTGGTGAGAATGTAAGCTGAGACAGCCACTATGAAAAGAAAGCAGTATGGAGGTTTCTCAGAAAACTCATGTGACCCAGCGATTCTACTTCCGGTTTTAGACGTGAAGGAAATGAAATGACTATCTGAAAGACATATCTGCACCCACATGTTCATTGCAGCTTATCTATGGTATATACATATATATATGGTATATATATGGTATATAGATATACCATAGATAGGGTATATCTATGATATATATCATAGCTATAAAAAAGCCACAAAAAAGAAAGGAAATCCTTTCATGTGTGACAACATGGATGAAGAGAGGAAGAGGGGAGGAAGGAAAGGAAGAGAGAGCGAGAAGGAGGCATGAATAGAGGGAGGATGGAAGGAAAGAAGGAAGGGACATTTAAAAGAAGCTAAGTATGTTGTCAGATATACTGTAACATGAATGTGTAGGGTGGATTTAGTCCTTCTCTGCTAATGGCTCCAAATACAGATTTATTCAAGTCTATTTTACTACAGGATAAAAAATATGTTGAAAATGGAAAAAGAAAGAAAAACTACTACAAATCTACTACCCCATCACAACCTCCATTAAACATTTTGGGATAATTTTAATATGGCATTTTCAATTTGGTGTTTTCATTGTGGGTTTGTACTCATTCCTCCCAATGAAATTCGACACTCATGTTGATAGCAAATGTGACTATATATCTAGAAACAACAGATGACATGTGTTTTGGACTGTAAATTGCATTTGATGCCTTCCCACATTTACAAAGCCAAGTATTACTTAAGACTGCATATATGGAGCTGTTTATATATTTTATATACAGAAATTCCAACCTATCCCTTTTACTCTAATTCTTGGAAAAAGCTTAATATAAAATATTTAATAAACATGGAATATATACAGTATATATTTAATATGTTATATATTTAAATACTACAAATAAAATGAAAGTCCATATACCCAGCATCCATGAGAAATAGAACATGAACCATCAACTTTGACATCCTGTGGGTGTCCCTTCCTGTTGCAATACTTTGCTCTACTCCCCAGAGACAAGTACCAGACTAAATTTTGTATTAATCAGTCTCTTAATTTTATTTAGAACTTTACTTCCAGTGATGGATAGTTTTATGTGTCAACTTGGCTAGGTTAAGGTACCCAGTAGTTAAGTCAAACCAATCTAGATGTTGCTGTGAGGCTTTTTTTCCCCCCATGCAATTAACAATTAAATCAGTAAACTTTGAGTAAAACAGATTATCCTTTCAAACCTGCCAGGCTGCCCTGGAAATTTTGGAATTGTGAGCCCCTACAAATGCATGAAACAGTCCCTTAATATCTCTCTCTCTCTCTCTCTCTCTCTCTCTCTCTCTCTCTCTCTCTCACACACACACACACACACACACACGCACACACACACACACACATTTAGGAGGTGTATTAGAGTTATCCAGAGAAACGGAACCAATAAGGTGTGTGTGTGTGTGTGTGTGTGTGTGTGTGTGTGAGAGAGAGAGAGAGAGAGAGAGAGAATTTTTTGCCACATATCCTACAATCTGCCTACTTAAAGTAGGTAATCCAATGGCTTTTAATGTATTTACAGAGTTGTGCAACATCACCACAATCAATTTTAGAATATTTTCATCACCCCAAAAAGAAATCTCATATTCATTAGTGGTAAATCCCCATTTCCTAGCCCTAGGAACAGCTAACTCTAGCCCTAGGGAACAGCTCATCTATTCTGTCCCTAAAGATTCGCCTATTCTAGAATTTCATATGAATGGAATTATACAATATGTGGTCCATTGTGACTTCTATCCCTTAGTGTAATGTTTTCAAGTCTGTCCATGTTGTAACATGTATATCAGTACTTCATTCCTTTTTGTTGCTGAATGATATTCCATTGTATGAACAAACTACATTTTACTTATACGTTCATCAAATAATGGACACTTGAGTTGTTTCTACTTTTGACTATTGTGAATAACGCTGCTGTGAACATCTATCACAAATACAAGTTGTATTTGAACTTTATGTCAATCAAATCATATTTTATGTATTATTCTGTGACTAATATTTTTGACTCTACATATCCATGTACAAGTTGTATTTGAATTTTATGTAAACAAATAACATTTTATATATTATTCGGTGACTAATATTTTTGACTGTACACTAGAATTTTTGAGATTCATTCAAGTTGTTGATTGAAGCTATAGTTCATTATTTTTGCATAGTAATAGCTTATAGGATTGTATGATAATAGCATATCCATTCTACTGTTGATAGATATTTGGGTTGTTGTAGTTTATTCTGTTCCAACCCATACTTCCATAAATATTCGTGTACATGTCTCCTGGTCCACAGAGGGTAATTTTTTTTACCATAACCTTCAGTGAGAAATCTACTTGATATCATGCTATAGGACAAATATATAACTGAAACAAAATGTTCATAAAGCAATACTTAGGAACAGTTACTCTAACCACATGCAATGCACACTGATACTTTCTCTTCTATTTTAAATAATTCAATTTTAAAAACTGAAGTTTTAAACTTTACAAGTCATTCCATTTATTTCACAAACTCTAAGGATTCTAGCCCTCCATTTGAAAAATACCACACTGGGCTACATATGAGAGAGTAGGGTCGCTGAATCATAGGATTTATGCATCTTTCCTGTGCTCTACTTTTCAGCCAACTCTTGACTTTTGTTACCAATCTCGTGGGTATTTTATGATATCTTCTTCTCAATTACATTTCCTCACTCTACCAATGTAGTTGAGTACTAGTTCATGTTTGCTAGTCATTTATGTCTCTTTTTCCCATTTATTCCTATTTTTTTCTACAGAATGTTTTGTTTCAATTCTTTTTTTTCCATATTTCAAATGTTTATTTATTTTTATTTTAAGAGGGACAGAGAGAGTACAAGTGGGGGAAGGGGAGAGAGAGAGGGAGAGAGAGAGAATCCCAAGTTGGCCTCACACTTTCAGTGCAAAGCCTGATGTGGGGCTTGATCTCATGAACCATGAAATCATGACCTGAGCTGAAATTAAGAGTCAGATGTTCAGTCGACTAAGCCACCCAGGCACCCAGTTTCATTTCTTAATTGATTTTTAGAAGTTCTGTATATATTCTGGATGTGAATCTTTTCTTTCAGTTATGTGTTACAGATGCCTTCTGCAAGTGTATGGCTTTTTCCCTCACACTGTGTTTGTCTCAGAAATTCTTAATTGAAATATAGTGAAATTTATCAAACTTTTTTCATACGGTTGGTACTTTTTGTGTTTTGCTTAGGAAATCCTTTTCTGTCTTGGGGGTCATAAAATCTTTATGTATTTGGATTTCACTTTAAGCCTTTAATCTATCTGGAATTTATTTTATTTATAGTGCAATTAGGAATCCAACTTCTTTTATGCAAATATACATATGTGTATATATTTGTATATATAATTGCTTTGACTCCTCCCCACATCTACAACATCATTTCTGTCCATATTTGTATGACACTGTACTTGATTCCATTGGTTTGTTTATCTATCACATACCTGTACCAATAGCGCATACTCTTAATTACAGACCTTTATAATAACTTCCCTCTGCTTGTTCATCTGAAGGGTCTTGGTTATTATTGGCCCTTTTATGTCCACATTTCAGAATCAGCTTATCAGATATTAGGAAAATCCCTGTTGGGGTTCTAATTAGAGTTGCTAGAGTTGATAGATCAATCTGGGGAAAATTACCACCTTTGCAATACTGAATCTTTCTCTCTAGAAGCATAATAGGTCTGTCCATTTATTTAGGTCTTTTCTAATGAGCTTCAATAACATAATATGAAAAGTGTTGCTCTTCTATATAATAGAGGTCCTCATATATGCTCATTCATATGCATGGTTAAATATCATAACATTCTAAATATTTTACTAAAACTATAAACATCTCACCTATTTTCCTTGAAACACAGAGAATGGGAAATTGTTTCATGCACAAAAGCAGCAACAAGATATATATGAGCATTCTTACAACCAATGTATTAAAAGCTAATCCAGAATGCTAGCCTTCATTTTTCAGCTTGAGATCATTATCTTACATAATACTGTATAAGAAGCTTTGTTTTTAATGCTAAAATTCACATCACAATTCAAAGTTCACTTTTTTCCCTTGAGGCTTTAACTGAATTAATATGTCTCTGTCCAGACATTGCATTTTTTTTTTTTTGTTAGGAATAAAAATGGTCTGGCTCAGATATCAAAATGGAAAATCAGGAGAGCAAGTGCCAGATTACACGGAATTTGATTACATTCAGAATACTCAAAGAGAATTTTATTTGTTGTTACTTACCTAGTTTTTTTCCTAACCACTTTGGTTCTCTAATATAGTAAGCTATTGAAGCATTTGTAAAAGGAGGTATTCTTTAGTCCATGAGAAGCTGAAACTCTAACCAGTTCTCTGGTGGATTTCACTCTAGATGGCCACCATAGTCATTTTGTGTGCTTTAAACAGTAAGTTTACAGACGTAAATTCTTTGTTTTCTGTCTTAGTCATTCCCAATTACCAAGAATTACGTATGTTTTTATTGTTTAATATGGAGGCCAAGATACAGTCCATTTTCAGTTTTCAACTCTTTGTACTGGAC